CAGAGGGGGAGTCAATCCCGGGAAGCAAGGGACAGAGGGGGAGTCAATCCCGGGAAGCAAGGGACAGAGGGGGAGTCAATCCCGGGAAGCACGGGGCAGAGGGGGAGCCAATCCTGGGAATCACAGGGTAGAGGGGGAGCCAATCCCGGGAATCACAGGGCAGAGGGGGAGCCAATCCCGGGAATCACAGGGCAGAGGGCGAACCAATCCTAGGAATCATGGTGCAGAGGGGGAGCCAATCCCGGGAATCACAGGGCAGAGGGGGAGCCAATCCTGGGAAGCATGGGGCAGAGCGGGAGCCAATTTTGGGAAGCACAGGCGGAGGGGGAGCCAATCCCGAGAAGCACAGGGCAGAGGGGGAACCAATCCCGGGAAGCACGGGGCACAATGTATCAGAATACCTGGGATAGATCGGAAGGGACACACAAACACACACAAACACATTCACAGTCATGTGTGCAATTTGGGCCATTTCGAAGCACCAGTTAAACTGCACACTCTTGGACTGCGTGCGGAAACCTGCAGAACAATGGAAGAGTGAGCATTCATATGCACATAGAGCAGGGACAGGATTCAAACCCCAGCCCTTACAACAAAACTACTTATTACTGTATGCCACCCATCTCATGCTATGTTCCCTTAACACTGCACATGAACTCATTTATAAAGATGATGATGATGATCCCATGGTCAGCAGAGTGATGTCACCATTGGCCCATTGGCTGGCTGATCCTGATTTCTAAACTGTACCTCAATTTGGATAAAAGCATCCGCTACCTAGATAAATGTAAATCTAAGTATGTGTAATATGTGCTTGCTGGTTTCTCGAGGAAGGCTTTACACTTGGATTCAATTCAGCAACAGTATTCTGTTCATAAGTGGGATGCTTACTGTTTGGAACCAATGGCTACTGTAGAATCATTCTGGTACCGGAGAGCAATGCACTTTAAGTCAGTGGTCACTGTACCTGTCTACTGGAAATCTACCACCCTGCAGAACATAGGTGCCGCCTTCATTTAACACACCTGGTACAGATAAGTATTGCGGCCAGCTATGTTGAAGCTAAGCTGACTCTAAAACTGAGATGCTACTGAAGGGCCTGATTATCTCAATCAGGTGTGTTAAATTAGGGCTGTACCTAAGACCTGCAGGAGCAGGCTTGGTGACCACTGCTTAAACTATTCTATAATTTATATTGCCGAAATATAAAATTTGAAAATTCAATGGTTCTTTCTTCAATATGACATTTCCTTTCTTGTTTAGTAATTTCCCAAATGAAATTACATGAGATTGTGCTAAGCATATTAAAAATGTGCTCCACTGCTGCCCCTAGTGGCAGAGGTAGATGCTTGCAAAATGATTATTGGTTCATTGTAGTGATGGGAAGGCCTTTTGTCGGTGCTGACCAGTTGGTTCACTATTAATCTTCTATTTTTATACATATATTTAGCAAAGCTTGGATGAGTGTAGTGTAGCCATTTCAGCTCAACAATTCAACTTGCTGCTTTGTCAGAGGTAGTAAGAATTAAATGATAAGTCATATGACTCTATTATCTGTAACATATATGCTTATCCAGTAGGGGGCCATGGCGAGCCAGAATGGAAAAGGCATGAGGGAGTACGCCATGGATGGGATGCCAGTCCATCACATGACATACAAAATCGCATAGTTACTGTATTTTAGGGACACTGAGTCACATTACTGCATGTTTTTGGATTATCATAAATCAAACTGCAGGGATAAACCCCCAAACCTGGCGTGTGAGCTACCGTATTACCCACTTAGCCACTACGTCAATTTCAAATTACCACCATGTTTTAAATATTCACCTAATTAATATTATTTTTTCAGTCGGTAGTATTGCCTGTGTCACCCGACCCATTAACCTTGAAAAGTGAGGGATCAGTATTGCAGTTTATGTTTTTTTAACTAGGTTGTATTTATTTGGGAACCTCTCATATCCAGATTCTGTTTCAAGACCAGCATAAAACGTTATAAAATCATACATGATTTAGTACGATCAGTACAGATCAGTACAGATACACCAGCAAGTTAATTGTAACTCATGCCTAATAAATAAAAGCCTATAAAGTTTCCCTGTGTCATTACTGACATCTACTGGTTTTAACGATTACTGCATGTGTTACTGATTTAATATTACAATTCAATATATATTACGGAATATGTAAGGAAAATTTTCGCAAGTGCATATAAATGGATTTTCGAAGTTCATCGAAAAAAAATTCGAACCGTTTCGGTCACGGAAGTCAAATACTCTAAATAGACCTACACCCGAAAGAACCCATTACATATCTCTGTGATTTTAAACAGTATAATACAGGGTACAGTAATCAAATTCAACCTATTATATATAGAATCATTTTGCATCTTTGTTTTGCTGAATATTTTTGTAATCATAACTTCAGTTGGATCAAATATAAATAATATTATATAAAAAAACATCAATAAATAAATTAATTAATATCAGTAATTTTAGTAAAATCTATTTCTATTAAAAGTATGTATGCATGCAGACACAGATCACTTTTGCCATTACTGAAATGCAGCTGCAATTAAAGTTGTCAGCAAAATCAAAAGGTTAAAGGACAAATTATAGACAGGAAGATGTGCAGAGGGGAGACATTTTGACGCGACAGTCAGCCTGCGATCCAGCTTCTCGCCCACGGACGCTGACGTCTAGCAACGCCACAAAAAATGTTTCGGTTTCGTTTCGTCAGTAGCAGATGAAACGATCTGTTGCTGTTACACGCAGTTAAAATAGACCCAGTTGCGGTCGCGCCGTGTTACGGAGCGAGAATGAGCGTTCAGATCGCCGGAATGATCTGCGCCCATGGCGGGGCTATAGACTACGATGATTTGCCCGCTAGTGTCAGATTTAACACTTGTGTCTTAAATGACTCTTCTGACAGTTTCCACATTGTTGTTCTCAACGGGAGGAAGAGAGTGATCGCCAAAACAAACGTCAGACTCTGCAAAGCGAGAGCGTGTGATAACTGCAGTAACTTGCATCTGTGCAAATTCTACCTATTTGGAGACTGCAAGAACATTAAAGAAAGGTAGGCCTACGTGTAATATAAAACCGTATCCAGTAACCGCAGGCAAGTAATAATTAAGAATTTCAGAACACGTACTAATGCCTCTTTGCAGCAGCGTCTTTCGAGTTTATAGAAGTATATATTTTTTTTAAATAAAACTATGTACTCTATATAAGAGGCCGTAGTGTTTCGTGATGCTTGTACTTGATACCCATATAAATTGGCCAGTTTTCTTTTTAATAACAGTAACACGTCAGCACGAAAAATTCACAAGGGAGCCAATCAAAAATAATTTCAGCATTACACAGACACTGTTGGAAACAGACGAACTAGAGAACGTCCTTTCTAATAACTTATAGTCTAGTTAAGCTTTACAAGAATATTAAAACCCTATTATTGTTGTTGTTGTTGTTATATAGTAAAGACACAGGTACTGTGTTTCATGTTGTCAGAAGGCAGAGACAGACCGCACCCCAGCCCTCAGTGGTCTCTAACCGCACTTGAAGCCTCTACTGTAAAGCCACTTTTTATTACTTTACGCTTCATGTTAGATCATCAGCGACATTCGTCACATTTCCTAGGCAAACCAGGTGCCATATCCATGCTGTAGTGTAACTTGTTCTGTCTGTTGCCTTGAGGGTTTTGTGAGGAATGCCTTATGGGCAAGGGTGTAACTTTGGGTGGAACATTGGGGGGGTTGAGGTCTCCACCCATTACGAGGGAAAAATGGTTATTTGGGGGGTTGTATTAGCTGGTTTTGATTTATTGGGGGGGCTACAACCCCCCCATCCCCCCCGTAATTTACGCCCATGCTTATGGGTGTAAGTTATTCTGTCTTTTGCCATCATAATCCTCTGACTTTTTCCCCCATTGTGCTAGCCGGTAAATCTCCCTGGGGGGACGGGGCTCATTTTGTGTGTTCTGTTTGTCTGACTGCGTTGGTGTAATGGCTGCAGGGGACGATGCCGTTTTTGCCATAACCTGAGCATGGAGCACAACAGCAGAGTGCTTCAAGAGCACAGTCTGCAGGGACTGGACCGGACCCAGCTGTGCACCTTGCTGCTTCAGAATGACAGCGCACTTCTGCCACCTGTAAGATAACACTCATCTGCATTTATACCGTGAATATGCAGCTATTTATTAAAATAACATTAAAATAAAAAGAGTGAGTAAGAAATTGCAGTTAGAATTCAGGGGCTGAATTCAGGGTCTGTACTGAACAAGTGATGGATGGATGGTGTGGTGTGTAGCTCAAGGGGTTCCCATGTTTGGAAGGTTGTGTGTTCAAATCCTATGGCCGACAGAGATTCACAAGTGCCCGGTTCGATAAAATTTTATTAATTTCAAATTCGATTTGGTTTTTATTGTATTCAATTTCATTTAATTTTGACGAAATGTCTTTTTAAAACAATTCTTTGAGAATCAATTCATTGTGTACATTAGTGTCAAACATTAACAAAAGTCAGTGTTAAACAATAATTTTTTTTATTTAACCAACAAACAAAATTGTGTGTTGTAATGTACTAACAAAATGTTTTAATTTAACAGCACCAAACAAATGCAATCTGAGATAAACAACATCAACACTAACTATTAGCAGTCAGTGTCAAACCAGGTTTATTTACTGGAATGGATTACTTCCGGAGCACGTGCACATAAAAGCGTACCGTGTGTAACAATCAGCCAATCACGTAAGTGTGGCTCACAATAGGCCTAAGTGTTTCACTGCAGTGGAACACAGAAAATGTGAAAAGTTCAAAAGTTTAATAACGGCCAAGAGCAACAGGGGCTGCCGCCAAAACTAGAAAGGCATGATGCAGCCGATCGCTGACAGCGGACATGCATACGTACAGTTTGTTGTTAAGACAATGGCAATGATTGTTTTAATTGCTGAGCATGTGCTCTCACTCCTTTTATTATTAATATTAAATGAAATTGTGATTCTTCAAAACCCAAATTTTCTTTATCCATCACACACAACAGCATAAATTTGTATCCAGGAAAGATGACAAAGTTGTTGACATACAGTACTGTGCAAAAGTCTTAGGCAGTCAAAGGAAATTATTTTTAAATGATCTTCTTATGGTGTAAAACTATTAACTTGTTAATAGCATAATAATTAATACTCAAATAATTATTTAAGCAAGCTGGTTGAGAAATGCAAGAAACACATGGAATGGGTGTTGTGGTTAAGGTTTTGGAACTGAAGCAGTGTTCATCTAGTCATCCAACAAGGTATCAACGTTTTTGGAGAATAGCAGAAATTAGTTTTTATTGTGTTACTGTTAATTTGCATGTTCTAATGTTAAATTGTGTTTTTTATTCCAAGAATATATGTACTTACTGCCCAGATAAATATCTTTAAACGTTTCCTTTTGCTACCTAAGACTTTTGCACAGTACTGTATTTTAGGACAGTGACATCCATGTTCATTAATAATTAAGGTAGAATAGATGGACTAATAACCATTAAACTAAATGAGATGGACATGTTCAGCAAAGTGGTTTAAACAATAGACTATGGGGGACAATGCACATCACTTGATTTTCAGATTATGTATTTTTATGCATTTTTATTAATATTTGCACTGTGTCCATTCACCATCAGTGACTGTAAATGAGCAACAGCTACTGAACATGAAACATTCAAATATTGATTAAACTTTGCCTGTAATCTGGAAAACCAAGGGGTGCAAGGCTGAGTATCAACTCAAAATGCTGAACCAATATCTTGTTACAGCAGAGATCGCCGCTCCTCATAAATATTGAGCAAGTGGCCAAATTGCCCCCTCTCATCTATAAATTTCTTATGTTCTTATTAATGAGATTTAGCACACATACCAAAAGGGCTTGAAACACAAAAACAATCAGTGTGAATCTCTGCCTGTGGACATCAAAGGTCTATGGTTAAAAATCGCCTGGCTTGCTTTTGTTGATCGATCTTACAGTCAGATATTGAATATAAGGCCGACTTTACTGCGGTCACAGAATTCTCTTGGAAAAGCCATTTGTTGCGTCTGGTAATATAGCGACTTCTTAGCTCTGAGTGGTTCAAGTGCTGTGATCCATGAGCCTGAACATAACCTGAACCTTGTTGGTAAGTATAAAAAGGTTTTCAAATCTGCAGGGAAAAGGCAGGAATGAAGAAGATCAATCTTGGGATTTTGTGAATCGATATTGAATCATCAAAACCAGTATCGCGATTAATCATAAAATCGCGCCCCTTCCTGTCAACCTTAATCACTCCAGTGATGCTGGCTGACTGACTGCCCTCTAATTCTTGCTTGTATGTCACATTGGACTAAGGAATCTGCTGAATAGAATAAAACGGAAGGACTGGGCTCTGTTGTATTTTTGTCACTCTGCCCTTTCTCAGTGACTAATTTTATGATGAGAAACGATTTTTTGATGGTAAATCCATGCAAGGAAAAGCCACCACTGTCCAATCAGTGCTTGGATAACATCTCTTTCTTCGTCGCCAGCTGTGCTTTCTGTATAACCAAGGCAGCGGGGAGTATGGAAACTGCAAGCAACAGGATAGCTGTACAAAGCTCCACATCTGTCAGAAGTATGTCAAGGGCACATGCAGCTCTGGGGTGGAATGCTCCAGGTCACATGACTTCTTCGAGCCCCACCCACTGAAGACCCTTCAGGGGAGAGGAATACCCCCTCACCTCATCGCTTCCATGCTGTCTGTCTACCAGAACATACAAGCCTTGAAAATTGCTAATAATCCAAAAATGGGTCATGACCCCAATCCAGGTACTGCCAGTGTTTCATTTAAATTTTATCTTGTTTATCTTAATAATATATAGCGTTTTATGATTAGTGTTATTAGTGTTAGGGTTGCTCAGTAGGTAGTACACTTTCCTCACACCTTCAGGACTGGGGGTTTAAACAACATGTGTTGAGTGGATTCCCTCCCAGAAAGACATGCAGTCAGACTAATGGGTGTCTCTGTGTTGCCTGTAGTGGATCTGTGTATGTGCTTTGTGATTGGCCGGCATCCGGTCCAGGCTGTATCTGCCTTGTGCCCTGTGCTGCCTGAAGAGGATTTAGGCCCCCAGCAACCAATCAAGATAATTGTTCAGAAGAGGCATGGATGTTATCGATATTGAGATCATTAAACCATTTATCTAGTACAGGATCATGGGGAATATTGATATCAGTAAATCTGTATTGAGATTTAGCAGAGCTACTGTTGGCATAGTTTGTCCAAAGCGGGTGACCAACAGAAGTCCTATCAGTACTTAAAATTGTACCTTTTTCCTTAGACAAAATGGACATTTGCATCTACTCTGTCAAAGGCAGCTGCAGATATGGAGGTAAGACCATTATTTCTGTGAAAATGCCGTGGGGGTAGAGCTGTAAGAAAAACCTTTGCACCACAGTAATGCTTTTATCCAGTGAAGTATTTTAATAGTAGTTATGTATCTCTAACAACATCTACTGAATAAGATCAGGTAAACAATGTGAATAAATAAGGAAATTAAGCAACAGAAAAGAGGGCGGCGCAGTGGTTAGCACTGTTGCCTCACACCTTTGAGTCTCCACTGCGGCTCTGTGTGTGGCGTTTGCATGTTCTCCTCCGTGTCATCGTGGGGTTTCCTCCAGGTACTTCAGTGTCCCCCCACATGCTGAGGTTAATTGGAGTTACCAAATATCCCGTAGGCGTACATGTGTGTGTGAATGGTGTGTGAGTGTGTGGTGTGTGAGTGAATGGTGTGTGTGTGTATGCTGTGTGTGTGTATGGTGTGTGTGTGTATGGTGTGTGAGTGAATGGTGTGAGTGAATGGTGTGAGTGAATGGTGTGAGTGAATGGTGTGAGTGAGTATGGTGTGTGTGTGTGTATGGTGTGTGTGTGTATGGTGTGTGAGTGTATGGTGTGTGAGTGAATGGTGTGTGTGTGTATGCTGTGTGTGTGTATGGTGTGTGTGTGTATGGTGTGTGAGTGAATGGTGTGAGTGAATGGTGTGAGCGAATGGT